TTTTAAATTTTTGTAAATATAAACAGAAAACTGAAAACGTAAGTGTTACCAAACGGCACCCTAATGATTAGGTCATGGCCAAGTTGAGATAAATGTTAAGTCAATTAGATTGTGTCACTGTTAGAGTCTAGCACAACTATAAATTCTTAAGCCAACTCTTACATATTTTATTATAAAAAAAAAAAATACTAGCATAAATTTATTCGCCAATTTAATAAATAAATGAGTTAAGTAGTTCATACTTAGATAAATGTTGGCTTAGGCATAAGCTAAGACAATTCTCTAATAATTATCTCATGGCCCAGTTGAGATAAATGTCGAGTTCATTAAATTATGTTACTTTTAGTGTCTATCACAGCTAAAAATACTCAATAATTTTAATATAAATATAAAATTTTATCAGTTTTAATTTTTTTTAATAACTATGCATACACAGGTACACATTTATTATTTTATTATAAAACTACTAATATATATTTATTCACCAATTTAACAAATAAATGAGTTAAGTGATTCATATTTAGGCATAAATTAAGAAAATTCCCTAATGATTAGGTCATGACCAAACTAAGATAAATGTTGCGTCATTTAGATTAATTATGTCACTTTTAGTGTCTAACATAACTATAAATCCTCAAGCCAACTCTTATATATTTTATTTTCAAAATAACTAACATTTATTTATTTACCAATTTAATATACAAATGAGTTAAGTGATTCATATTTAGGCATAAGAGTAAGACAATTATCTAATAATTAGGCCGTGGCCAAGTTGAGATAAATATTGAGTCAATTGAATTATGTCACTCTGAGTGTCTAACACAACTATAAATCTTCAATAAATATAAAATTTTATCAAAATTTTTATTTTTTTTAATAACTATGCATAAACATGTACATATTTATTATAAAAAATACTAATATATATTTATTCATCAATTTAATAAATAAATGAGTTAAGTGGTTCATGTTTAGTCATAGACTAAGATAATTAGTCATGGCCAAGTTGAGATAAATATTGAATCAATTAGATTACGTCACTTTTAGTGTCTAATACAATTATAAATCCTTAATCAAAATCTTATTTGTTTCATTAAAAAAAATGCTAATAGATATTTATTCATCAAATTAATAAATAAATGAGTTAAGTGGTTCATGCTTAGGCACAAACTAAGACAATTCTCTAATAATTAGGTCATGACCAAGTTGAAATAAGTATTGAGTCAATTAAATTATGTCACTTTTGGTGTCTAGCACAATTATAAATCCTCAATAATTTTAAATATAAATATAAAATTTTATTAAAGTTTATTTATTTTTTTTAACAACTATGCATAAATATGTGCATATTTATTATTTTATTATAAAAAATACTAACATGTATTTATGTACCAATTTAATAAACAAATGAATTAAGTGGTTCATATTTAGGTATAGAGTAAGACAATTATCTAATGATTAGATCATGGTCAAGTTAAGATAAATGTTGCGTCAAATTAAATCGTGTCACTGTTAGAGTCTAGCATAACTATAAATCCTTAAGCCAACTCTTACATATTTTATTATAAAAGAATACTAACATATATTTATTTATCAATTTAATAAATAAATGAGTTAAGTGGTTCATACTTAGGTATAGACTAAGACCATTCTCTAATAATTAGATTATGGCCAAGTTGAGATAAATGTTGAATCAATTAAATTATGTCACTTTTAGTGTCTACTACAGCTATAAATCCTCAATAATTTTAAATAAATATAAAATTTTATCAAAGTTTTAATTTTTTTAATAACTATGCATAAACATGTACAAATTTATTATTTTATTATAAAAAATAGTAATATATATTTATTCACTAATTTAATAAATAAATGAGTTATGTGGTTCATATTTAGGCTTAGATTAAGACAATTCTCTAATTATTAGGTTATGGCCAAGTTGAGATAAATGTTGAGTTAATTAGATTATGTGAGTTTTAGTGTCTAGCATAACTATAAATCTTCAATCAAACTCTTATATTTTATTATAAAAAATACTAATATATTTATTCACTAACTTAATAAATAAATGAGTTATGTGGTTCATATTTAGGCATAATCTAAGACAATTCTCTAATAATTAGGTCATGGCCAAGTTGAGATAAATGTTGCGTCAATTAAATTATGTCACTTTTAGTGTCTAGCACAATTATAAATTCTTAATAATTCTAAATATAAATATAAAATTTTATCAAAGTTTTAATTTTTTTTTTAATAACCATGCATAAATATGTACATATTTATTATTTTATTATAAAAAATACTAACATATATTCATGTATCAATTTAATAAATAAATGAATTAAATGGCTCATGTTTACGTATAGAGTAAGACAATTATCTAATGATTAGGTCATGGCCAAGTTAAGATAAATGTTGAGTCAATTAGATTGTGTCATTGTTAGAATCTAGCATAACTATAAATCCTTAAGCCAACTCTTACATATTTTATTATAAAAGAATACTAACATTTATTTATTCATCAATTCAATAAATAAATGAGTTAAGTGATTCATATTTAGGTATAGACTAGGACAATTCTATAATAATTAGATCATGGCCAAGTTGAGATACATGTTGAGTCAATTAAATTATGTCACTTTTAGTGTCTACTACAACTATAAATCCTCAATAATCTTAAATATAAATATAAAATTTTATCAAAATTTTAATTTTTTTTAATAACTATGCATAAACATGTACATATTTATTATTTTATTATAAAAAATAGTAATATATATTTATTCCTCAATTTAATAAATAAATGAGTTAAGTGGTTCATATTTGGCATAGATTAAGACAATTATCTAATTATTAGGTCATGGCTAAATTGAGATAAATGTTGAGTCAATTAGATTATGTGAATTTTAGTGTCTAGCACAATTATAAATCCTCAAGCCAACTCTTATTCTTTTGTATTTGTGAATTATGGCGTAGGAGAAACTATAATTTTATGCCTAAGTAGACATATTTTTAAATTTTTATAAAATAGACAATGGTTAGTTAATAAATTGACAAATATAATTTATTATATGATTGTACTATCTCTGACATAAAATAAACTAAATTGCAAAACTTATGAGACAAAATGCATTTATTTTTCATTGTAAAAATAATTTTTGTAAATTTTTTTGTTTTTGAACGGCCATCAAAGAAAATTTTATTAATAAAGGGGAAGAAAAACACCAAGATGCTTAGGAGAGTTGCAACATTGTTAATACAATACATCCCAACTATAAGTTGGCACCTGAGGTACAACCAATCATGTGCAGCCCCAAAGCCACCGGAAGAGTTGGAGAGATTCAAACTCGAAAAAACAAATACAAGCGAAGAGCTCAAAATTAGCTTGCACCTCCTAAGCTTACTCTAATTTGCTTTATGTTAAACAAAAAATCATGGATCAAGAACTCGAGTTCCTTGAAAGAAGCTTTCAACAATATAGCTATCCTGATTGTAATGTTGTCTCTCAATACACCCAAATCAGGTTGTTTACCTTTGAAGATATACTCATTTATGTGCTTGCAAATCGACCACAGGGTAGTTAATAGAATGGCATTCCATATATTCATTTTAGTTTTCTTCAATTGGCACCCAGTACACCAAATCAACACTTCTTCAATTGTTCTAGGCATTGCCCATTGTGTTCTCCACCAGTTCAATAAATCAGATCAAACCTTCCAAATTTTGGAACAAAAGAGCAACACATGGTTGATTGACTCGGTCTCTGCTTTATAGAAAATGAATAAGGTAGAAGCATTACCATCAAGAATGCCAATCCTCTGCAGAAAGACTGATGTTTTGGCTTTATGTTGCCAAGCAAGCCAACCAAAAAACTGGACTTTGGGTGAGAGAAAGCTATTCCACACCTACCTGCAGGAAAAGATATGAAGACTAAGAGCTAAGTCACATTGTTGGTACAAAGTTAAGACCATAGATTGACCAGCCTGAGTTGCTACCCACTTAGGCATGTCCTCAACACATTGTCCAGGTGCAGTAGACGAATTGAGGATGTGTATGTGTATGGGTCTCTCCACTTTAGCTTTTCCTACTCAGAAAGCTTTATTTGGAAATTGAAGTCCCACTCCCCTTGAATCATTTTCCTATCATAGAACATTTTCAAATAGCCTACCTTATCATTGGTTACTCTAAAGAGTTTGGGGAATTATTCTCTAAGGCATACATTACCACACCATTTGTCAAACCAAAACCACACCCTTTTTCCATCACCCACCACAATTTGGAAGTTGTTCACATAAAATTGAAACATATTGGGTCTAAGCTCTGAAATAGCGACAATGTCCCCCCAGATTTTTGAGAATCTACATCTAGAGTTGATAAATGGATGCCAATCACCTCCCTCAAAGCAATACTTGCTGCATAATACTTTTATCCAAAGTGAATAATCTTCATTGGGAAATCTCCATCACCACTTAATCAAGAGGCAAAAATTGACATCCCTTAATCTCCTCACTCCCAGTCCACCATGATTAGTACTTCTAGTTATCTCATCCCACTTAACCAAGTGAACTTTCCTCTCTAAATCAGATACCTTCCCCCCCTTCCCAAAGAAATGCAGCTTGGATTCTATCAATTTGTTTGGCCACTCCTTCAAGAATCTTGAACAGAGAAAGATAGTAAACTGGCAAACTAGACATGACTAATTTTATGAGGGTTATTCTTCTAGCAAAAGATAAAAATCTCCTCTTCCACCCAGCAAGTTTGGATTTCATTTTGTCTATGACTGGTTTCCAAATCTTCTTTCTGTTTGGACTAGCACCCAAAGGCAACCCCAGATATTTTAGTGGCAATTTCGAAGTCTTGCAATTTAACTTGGTTGCAAACTTGATAAGCAAAGACTCAAAAATTCCAACCTCACAAACCACACTCCTGTGAAAGTTAATTTTAAGCCCTAATGGAATTTCAAAACATGTTAGAATCCTTTTAATATTTGCTACTTCTTCTCAATTGGATTCACAAAAGCATAGTGAGTCATCTGCAAATTGCAAGTGTGACACAACCACTCCTTTTGAACCAATTTCAACTCCTTTTAATAGTCCCAACTCTCTTTCCTTTAGCATTAAAATGTTTAACCCTTCAGCAACCAAATTGAATAAAGGAGGTGATAAAGGATCACCTTGTTTGAGTCCTTTCTGAGGGCTAAATTCTTGTGTTGGTGATCCATTTACTAGCATTCTAGAGGTGGAGACAAGAGACATTCTTTCATCCAAGAAATCCATTTTGATCTGAACCCAAAATTTGAAAGTATTGAAAAAAGAAATTCCCAGTTCACAGAGTTAAATGCTTTTGCAAAATAAAGTTTTGAGAAGCAGCCCCTTATTCTTCATTTTTTCCCACCCATCCACTATTTCATTTGCAATCAAAACCCCATCAATTATGTTCCTACCACTCAAGAAGGTTGTTTGAGTTTCACTTATCACCTCATGTAGCACTGTCTTCAATCTGTTTGAGAGGACCTTGGTGAGAATTTTGTACATAGAGCCAATCAAGCTTATTGGTCTAAAATCATTCAAGCAGCTTACATTATCCAACTTTGGAATAAGGGTGATAAATGAGTTGTTGATTCCTTTAGGCAATCTACTAAAGTTATGGAATTCCTTTATGAAATGAATTACCTCATGTTTGATTACATTCCAGAATTTTTGGAAGCAAAGAAGGTTAAAACCATTAGGCCCAAGAGCTTTGTTCCTATTGAAGTCTATGATTGCTACACATATCTCATTCTCACTGTATTCTGCCTCCAACTGCTCAAAAGAAGCACTATTCCCCACATTCTTGAACGAACCTGATAGCACAGGTCTGTATTTCCACTCCTCAGCAAATTGATTCATAAAATGTGAACACACTTCCTGCTTTACTTGGTTTGGTTCTTCATATAGAGTGCCTCCAACAGAAATAGAATTAATTGCATTTCTGTTTTGTCTAGAATTGGCTGTGATATGGAAAAACAGGTACTCTTGTTACCTTTCAAATTCCAATCCAATTTGGATTTTTGTAGCCATTACCATTCCACCATTCCATTGAGCTACCCAACCTCATTTATTGTATCCTTTTTTTGACTCATTTCTGCCTTCAATTTCCCATTCACTCGGTATTTCCCATTCACTCGGTAATGGTTTTGAGCAACCAAATATACCACGTGAATCACAACGCGGCATAGAACGCGTTACCACTTTGACCCGAGTAAAACGACACTCGGGGCCCACCTAAAAAATAGACCGAACTTAGAAAAAAATTCTGGTTTTATCCAGAATTTTATAACCATTCCAACACAATCTACTAAAGTTATGGAATTCCTTTATGAAATGAATTACCTCATGTATGATTACATTCCAGAATTTTTGGAAGCAAAGAAGGTTAAAACCATTAGGCCCAAGAGCTTTGTTCCTATTGAAGTCTATGATTGCTACACATATCTCATTCTCACTGTATTCTGCCTCCAACTGCTCAAAAGAAGCACTATTCCCCACATTCTTGAACGAACCTGATAGCACAGGTCTGTATTTCCACTCCTCAGCAAATTGATTCATAAAATGTGAACACACTTCCTGCTTTACTTGGTTTGGTTCTTCATATAGAGTGCCTCCAACAGAAATAGAATTAATTGCATTTCTGTTTTGTCTAGTATTGGCTGTGATATGGAAAAATCAGGTACTCCTGTCACCTTTCAAATTCCAATCCAATTTGGATTTTTGTAGCCATTACCATTCCACCATTCTATTGAGCTACCCAACCTCATTTATTGTATCCGTTTTTTGACTCATTTCTGCCTCTTCCAGTGTTTTGACTTCAGCAAGCAAATCAAGTTCATGTAGTCTCTCCTCAACTTTTTTAAGCTTGAGTGTAATATCGCCAAACACATCTCTACTTCATTCCTTGAGTGCCATATTTAATGCACATAGTTTTGTTTGAAGGATATATCCAGACCACCCACACACTTGAAGTGCCATATTTAATGCACATAGTTTTGTTTGAAGGATATATCCAGACCACCCACACACTTGAGTTTCTATCCAAACTTTTTTAAACAAAGCTAAGAAGTTGGGGTGCAAAATCCAAGCATTCAAAAATCTGAAGGGTTTAGGACCCCAATCTCTCACATCTTTCTTTACAATTAATGGACAATGGTCAAAGACAATTCTAGGCAAGCCCCAAAACTTAAAATTTGAATCTTTCAAGCCACTTAGGATTAACAAGGAATCTGTCAATTCTACTCTATTTTGCTCCACTTTGTGCATTGCTCTATGTAAATTTCCCGCCCAGCATGTGTATATCCACTAGTTCACAATTATTAATAAAACCATTAAAATCTTTCATGCCTCTGTCTCTTCTAGAGCATCCAATTCTTTCACCCACACTTCTAATCTCATTGAAATCCCCTCCCAAACACCATGGATGAGGAAATCCAGCTTTCAGATTATATAAAATTTCCCAGAGTCTACCCTTTTTTACTGCATCATTAGGTGCAGATAAATTTGTAATAACACACTGGAAAGTGTTAAGAACAGTGCCTGAAAGTAAAATAAAATTCTTGCTGTAAAAACAATCCGAGCTGAAAAATCTCAGGATCCCAGATATATAGTAAACCACTAGCAGAACCTTCAGCATCCACACTCATGAGCTCCATCTTGTCCCTGGACCAGATTTGTTTGACATCCATCATAGACAAATTTGTTTTTTTTTTTTTTGTTTCCTGAAGTAACACCATATCAATCTTTCTCTGCTTAATTAGATTTTTAATTTTTCTCATCTTTTCAGGCTTCCCCATACCTTTAATATTCCAAGATATAAGCTTCATTAAAACAAATTTTATCTCTTAAACCACCCAGATTTTGCTGATTATACATCACATATTTTCCTTTCCTTGATCTTCTCATTATCCTTCTTTTCAAGTTGCACAATTTTTCTTAGAACTTCAGAGTCATTTTCTTTGCAGTTCATGCCTAAACATCTTACCAGTTGCAGTGTTGCTTGATCTTCAATTAGGTTGACTTTAAGCTTGCTAGATTTGGAACCAGATAAGTTTGATTTTGAGAGTGTTGCTACTACTGCTCTAACCACAACTCCTTTGTGGCCTGCCTTGCTTGAACTTGCCTTTTTTGCTCCATTCTTCTGGCTAGACCTATGAATCCTTCCAAAACTATAGTGCTGCTAGCTGGATCTCTTCTTTTCCTTTTTTCCCTATTCATTTTCAATAATCTGTTGGTTGATGAGCTAGCCCCAGATTTAGAACACACTGTGATGGGCTTGTCAGTCTCCCATTTATTGGTCTGCTTAATTGTTGAATTAGGAGGGCCTAAGCTAGACTTACATAGCCCTTCAGATTGTAGTCTTTTGGGCCCATTATTAACCTCCCAAAGCCTACTAATTTGTGCATTGGATTAGGCTTGATCCAAAGCCACTTCTAGATTAATGCCTGTTTTACCTTCCTAGATCCATTAAGACTTTTAATATAACCAGGTGTGAGTATCTGGCCAACCATATTTAGAGCTTCGTGAGCACTCTTATTCTGCCTGCTATCCTTCATTATTCTTGTCTCTCGCACGCGTGTCTCAGCCCTAGTTGTTTTTCCTATGCTATCTTTTGTCTTCTCAACCATTGATGTCTCTACTCAAGTGCTTTTACCTAGGCCTGTACTTCTTTCCTCCTTGCCATCCTCGAGCAAGGATCCTCTAGAGTGATTTTTCCCTAAAGTTTCCTAAAGTGCTACAGTGTATGGTTGAGATTTACTGGCAAGTCACATCAATTTTTCTGATGTGATCCTATGCTATCTTTTGTCTTCTCAACCATTGATGTCTCTACTCAAGTGCTTTTACCTAGGCCTGTACTTCTTTCCTCCTTGCCATCCTCACATCTTTATTTGCCAGCACATCTCTAGCTGCCATTTCAGCATCCACATCATCTGCCTTGTTATCACCTTCTTCGACCACCGTGTTTTCTACCATAGAGTTTTGCACACCATTTGAGTTGGAACTAAAGATCTCCTAATCCCTTTGATGTGAAGTGCATCTACAGTTGATCCTCACCTATTGTACAATCTGTTCTTCACATACTCGTACTGGATAGACCCTCCATTTGCACTCCAAATTTATGTCTTTATTGATCAGTTCCATATTGCTGGTAATAATTCTTACCCTACCGTCGCGGAAGGATGATGGTTGACAAATATCACCATCAAAGTTGGTAACCTCTCTCCAAATTCTTCTAATTTTCCTGAAAGTATCCGAGTTCCATAAGTTGAGAGGAATGCTAAAGAAACTCAGCCTCACATGCCTTTCCTGTTCCAGTTGAAGGTTTGATGACCATTCCGTAATGCATTCACTGCACTCTTGAGTCCATTCCTCAAGCATTCGCTTGTTGTTCTTCATCTCCTCCACTGACTTGAATGTTATCACAATATCTCAACCACCTCATTCTCTTACTAATATGTCCTTAATTCGTCTTGCTTTGAGTTCATCCTTCAGATTATTAGCAGAGTAATTTGGTTTTAATCTTATGAATACACTTTCATATAACCACCCATTACTAATCTCATTCACTTTGATAGTAGTTACTGATGTCTCTAGTGGTTCCACTCCCCTTGTAGCCTTTGCAAAAGTCCTCCTATCAATACCATGCTTCCATCCCTTTTGGGGTTGATGTGCATAAAATTTGTCGACCTCATTCTTCCTCCCTTTCATTAGAAAAGGTTGTCTACTTTAATCGTTCACCTGGCCATGCTCTGTTAACTGCCAATGCTTTATCCCCCACCCACAAGCCATCAACTTTTTGGGTAGCTATGTTTGCTGCTACAGGACAATCAAATCTCACAAAGCCAAATGTTGTGTTCGTTGCTTTCTTTCTCTTTTGTGGGATGAATGCATCCTTGACAATTCCAAAGTTTGAGAATAACATGTTAAGACGTTTTGGCTCCATTGATTTAGGTTAATTGTCCACAAATAGTGTGAACAATCTTGACCTCATCCCTCTAATCCCTACTCCTTGGTATCCTTGTTTTCTTCTCTGCTGAACTGCTGGTATCCATTCCTTGTTCTACTAGTGAACCTCTTCTCACCATTGATAAATGATATGTAGTTTTCCTACTGTGGATCCACATTGGTTTAATTTGATGATTCTTTTTATTATATACTTGATGGAGTAACAAACACGAAATATGAAATTAAAATCTATTGTTTCAAAAGAGAATACTGAAAGTAAATATTTCTTTAGACTCGTGGAATGTTTTGATTTTGTTTCAATACACCTCATAAATTATTTTTAGATTCAAATTACATTTATCTTTCTCAGCAAATCTTAACCCTAATTAGTGCTTCTGGTGGCCGCCACCTCCAATCCAGCCACTTCCCGTTTAGTCGTCATAGTTGAGGTTGCAAGCCAATAATGATGTCTCCTCTCCAGAACCTCTCATTCACTTCCTCTTTCTCTTTCTTCTTATTTTCTTGTTTCCTTTCTCGTTCTCCATCTTTAGCCACCTGCACTAGCCATATACACTACGATCTCTTTTCTAGTCACCATTGGAACCCTTACTTTTGCGACCTACCACTCTGGTTGCCTTTAACCACCACAACCATTGTAGCCCCATACTCTAATGAGTTTTACCCTAGAGAGAAAGTGGGGGAAAGATTTAAGGTTTCAGGCAACGAGGAAAAAAGAAAAAGAAAAAGAGAGAGTGCAGAAGAGGATCATGAGGAGTCATGAAGGAGAGAAGAATTGTAGAGGGATGTTAAAGGGCGATGGGGGTTGGAATAGAGGCAATGCTTGAGCTGGAGGTGCGACGGTGAATGGTAGTGGTGTGTAAGGGATATATATTGAGAAATTAAGGTTTAGAATTTTGTTTAGAAGCGTAATTTATTTTAGGAACAAAATTATAATTAAAAAAAATTAAGCGCACTTGGGCCATAAATCTAATTTTGAAACTTTTGGAGCCATAGGGATAATAATAATAATAATTTACAAAGACCATATTATCTTTACCTATCTATTTATCTGTCCACTATTTGTTCACCTCGATGTCTAGTGTTACTTGTCTGTCTATATCACCACCATCGCCAATCGCCATTGGTCATCTTTGGCGACTTTTTTAGTGAATTTTTTGGAGGCTTTTTTGACGATCGAAGGTGGTTTGGTGACTTTGTAGTGAAAGATTTCGGGTTTAACTCTAGAAAGGAGTTTGATATTTTTTGTGGTAGTATTTATTTATTTTTCATTATGGGCTTGGGTTTGATCTAGAGATTGTTGATTTTGTAGTTATTGTTGAACTAGTGATCAATTTGATAAAATATTTCTTATATTTGAAATTAGTCTCTTATTGATTGAAAATATAAATTCATTAATCATGCATTTACAATCAAAATAAAATAATCATTAGATCTAATACCATACATCTTAAAAATGGATTTCTCAACAAATTATTATTTTTAAATTAAAAGATGGAAGGGTACTAAAAAAAGAGAGTAGTGTGCAAATAGAATTAGTTAAACAGGAAGATATTTGTGAAATTTATAATTCGATCTATTTGACTACAAATATT